GGAGATGCCAGCAAGTGCACTGTCACTGAATGTTTCCAGTGGCCAGGTAGACTCACTTCTTGGTTGCTTATACACTTTTAGTTTCTTTGAAAACGGCCCTTTAAGTCACTTGATCCATGACTTGAGCGAGCACTCTCCATTTGTTCATTTCATAGTTATTGTAGAAAAGATAAGAAATGATGCTTTAGTCTTTTGTAAATTAAGTCAAACATACAATAAACTGAGGTATTCCCTTTGGTTAACAGAGCAATCCGATAATAAAAGTGGACAAAGCACATCGAGTTGCCACAAATATCTTTGTATATTACGCAGTGGGCAAAAAATGAGGTGACCAAATACTTCTTTCCACCATAATTGCAAATCAGTTCTTAAAACTCGACAAGTTAGAGGTATACCTATGATGAAAAGACAGCCTCTCTCATATTTTTAAGTGGGAGAACGTGCACAATTGGTGCTGACTAAATACTTTTTGCCCCACTGTATTTGATCCTGTCTCCCTCAATACTATTTAATATCTAAATGCTTGATTCATCATAATAACAAATGTCTGTTGTAGCTACTGACAGTGAGTTTGATTCCATTTTTTCCATCTACCAAAGAGAAATAATATCTCTTAGTGGCAGGTGGATCACACGTTGATTCTAACACTTTGCATATGACTGGGTAGGATGAGCATTTTATAAGCGCTTGTGGGTTTTTGTTTATTTAAGGAAATACATCAGTTCCCTTGTATTTTAAATTTGAGTGAAGATCCTAAATTGGCCCCCACTCTTCACTTTGAGAAAAGGCTAATCTGTCTTATCCCCACATGAGCACAGTCAGATATAATACAGGCTTTCACTCAGGAGCAGGAAGGCTAAAGGCTGTTTAATGTTTGATCTAACTGTGTCAGACATTTGCGTTCTCACGTGCATGGACAATATCTTGAAAACTTCAGAGCTGCAGTGCATGTTAAAAGGTTAGAAAGCAGTGCTTAACACAGGTTTTGTCTCTTGCGTAGCGCTCGGTCCATCCAGACTCCCCTCGATATACAACATGATCAGCAACTCAAATACAAGCCCTCCAAGTGATTCCTTCATCATCAACATCTGCATCCATGATCCATTACTCAACAGCAACATCTGCAGCTGTGCATCCAACTCGGAGGAATCGCCTGCTGTGCCAGCCATGGGCCGCAATTCTCTGTGCCTTGTTGATGGCCTCGCTGTATCCTGTGCTGGAGAAAGCGGTGAGAACACGCTGGTGAGCCAGGCGCGCGAGCTCCATGTAGGACATCAGTAAGGCCGTGATACACTTCCCTCAAGGAACTGATCAATGAGAACTCTGACTACCTGCTTAATGACATATCACTCACCTTCAGAGCTCAGCCAGCACCACAGTAGTTATAGGTGTTTTGTTTTAGCCCAGAATGGACACAGAAATGAGTGCTGAGGGTTTACCCGATTCCTCTTTGTCTCTAAGCCTGTGCGTCCCTTTCAGTAAGTGATTGAATCCACCTGACATTCAGAAGTCGTGGTAGAGCATATCGTACAAGGCAAGATGTCAAACACATCCAGTCCCAGTTAGACTCCGACCTTCCCCGGTAAGGTTCCCAGACCTAACAACAAAACTGATATGACACGTGGCGCACACAAATTAACCTGCTCCAAAATGACCCCACATGTCCCGCTGCAAATATCCAGAAAGATCATGAGAGCCTGCTCCCACCACAGCTGATATAGTTAAAATGTGTGACTCACAGGTGCTATAGCGTACGGCCACAGCTTCACTCTGAGCCCATCTCCATAGAGTGCAGACAGTGATATCTGAACTCCTTAAGACACAGGACAACAGTTTATTGAGATATGTATTTTTATTTCATAATATGTACTCCAACAACTCAATATTCTTCCCCACCTGCCTCAGTCGCCTCCACTTAGGAGATCCACTTAATGAGGTAAGAAACATCATCATCATCTGCAGCTTCCCAGCGCACCGGATGTCACTGTCTGAGAAATTAGTTACCTAAGTCTGAAGGAGAGCACCTTCACTAGAAAAAAGAAAATGTGTAGGGAATTTTTAAAAATGGGAAAGCTACATCTTATATCTTTCATTATTAATAACATTTACAGTACTGTGCAAAAGTCATGAGCCACACGCTAAAGTATTCATTGGACATTATCTGTTTTTTCCAATCCTTTTTAATCCAGTTCTGTACCTGACCATTTTCTGAGTAAGTTTTTTGTTTGTTTGTTGGTAAACACTTTGTTTGTTTGTTGTTTGTGTAAACACTTGCACTGACCATTATTGGAGAATAAAAAGCACCTAATCAAGGAATAGTGTACACATAACAGAAAACTTGGGAAAGAACCAATTTGAAATCTTTAAGCACTTGTTACTAGCGGCCTGTCACAAAAACACATTTGTATAGTGTTTTTTTATCTGTTAATAAAATATAACAAATGGTTGATTAATCACAATGTGTTAGTGTGTAATCACCCTGAACATGCATGCCTGTCGTAAGAGTCAGATCTAAACCACTTCTTTTTTTCTTTTTTTTCTTTTTTTTTGGCCTGCCCGTTTGGCTCTTTTGCCATCAGAATTGTTGTCTAAAGGCAAAGAAAGATGCCCAACGGATTACTTTACCAAATTGACCATCCCCAGCCTTGCCGTAATGGTCCATTTGATTCACCTTTAATTGTTTATTTATTTCACTGCTGAATACGGACAGACTTGACTGGGGAAAGAAGGGAGAAAGAAAGAGGGAAGAGAAACAGCTGAGAAGAGGACGGGGAGAAGGCAAAAAACAAAAACCAACAGAATGAGCAGAAAAAAAAAGAAATAAAAAATGCATATATCGATCACCTGATCACCTGCTGAGAAAGAAAAAAGAAAACAAGCAGAAGAGAACAAAGTAATAGAATAAACAGCATCACAATGATATATGGGAATATGACAGTAAATACTAAATATAAACATTATGTGCAGCACATAAGACACAGAAACACAGTGTCTTTGAGGTAGAGCCAAAAGGTGTAGTTTGTGGGTGTATCACCCATGTTACACCTGTGAGCATGGATGCGCTGTTTTTTAAAAAGGTCCTTCATGTAATGATCTGCAGAGGGTGGGGGGCCACAGCCCGTCCTCCAGGCATGAAGCAGTATGGAGGAGATCAAAACTCCAGACATCCAGAGCCCCCAGAACACAAGAGACCAAGGAAGACCAACAGAGGGCAGCCGCGCACTGTCCCAGAAAGAGCTGAGGAGAGTCCCAGATGAGGGCTCACTCAGCAGCCGCGGAGCAGAAGCCAGGGGAGTTGCAGTGACGCCGCCCCGGAGCACGCGAGCGGAGCCCCAGGCTCCAAGGCCCCGATAAGCGGCCGCCAAGGAGTGAGCCGGTGTGTACCTGGACGCCCATCCCCGGACACAAAGAACCACCAACGCACCGATGTCTGAGGAGTCCGCCACTGGCAGGGAATGTGGTAGGGGGAGATAGCCTCCAAACCTTGGAGGGCCTGAGATGTCCCAGAGAGGTGGCGCCTGACACCCAACCTGACATATAGACACAGAAATACAGGCACACACATATACAAACATCCATCCCACCCTCATGCTCTCATATGCACTTACTCCACACTCAACCAACGTGGAGACAGACATAAAGAGACGCTGTACACACGATCACACTCCCCAAGCGTACCCTACAAACCGGGTCAGGTACCCTTGCCCCTGGAGGGGGAACTGCACCCAGACCCAGGTGGTATTACCCTTTTCCCTGCGGTGGGGGGAGGCAGACCGCCCCGACTCCGCAGCAGCAGGGAGGCCCCACACCCCAGACCGCAGTCGGACGGCCAACTCCTCCTCCTAGCCCCCCCCGCTCCAGCAGGTCGCAGAGAATGGGGGTGAGAGAAGACTCCAAACCTCCCTCCACCCGCTCATGTAGTGTTGATGCATGTGTGTTCTAAGGTGCATTTAAAACCCAGGAGGGCATGGAGCTACCTGCCAGAGAGCACAGGTAAGCGCATGGTCCCTCCTGCTAGCCCTCAATGTCTACCGGTATGTGTATTAACCTTGAGAGCACTTTGTTACTAGCGGCCTGTCACAAAAACACATTTTGTATAGTGTTTTTTTTATTATCTTGTTAATAAAATGTATACAAATGTGTGTGATTAATCACAATGTGTTAGTGTGTAATCACCCTGAGACATGCATGCCTGTCTGTAAGAGTCAGATCTAAAGCCACTTGTGATTTGGAGATGCAGCCTGCAGATTCTGTCCAGATTATCCAGGCTTCACTTATCAAATGTGTAAAATTCAAGGCTGGTCCTTAAAAGTTGCCAACAATGCAAAAACTGCATAGCCACACAAGTCCAGCGTTTCCCACCGCAGCAGCTGTGAAACGAAAGAGGAGAAAGGATGAATGAGTGTTTGCTTATGGCTCTCCGCTCTCCCCCAAGCTGGCGTTGTTCTTGGTAGCCATGACAACGGAGATAGTCCAGCTTGTAAATACAGGCCCCAACAGGCCAAAAAAGAAAAGAAAAAAAAGGATTGGGATTCCCTGCGCAGCCCAGGAATCCCCCTAGCAGACTGAAGACACAGATAGGACCTGAACTCAGTGAGTGTGTTCGAGCCGAGGCTCGAACCAGGGCCTGTCTGTGCTTCAAGTTGCCAGGGGCCGGCAAGTGTTCTGCGCCACCTGCCCGCCGTGTAAGCTGTACAAATTGCTATATTTGACTTCTCTGAATATAAATTATTTTTGAAAAGGAAAATAATAATTTTAATGTGAGGCAAAACATGTATGGTGCTCGATAAAGATGACACGCCGACTCACTTCTTCTTCTTTTTTTTTTGCAAAGTTTGTTTTCATATTAAACCAGTGTCAGTGACGTCATTCTATGCGACTACCACAGTAAAGGAAAAGCCTGGATCTGTACATCTTTTTCTTTTCTTTTGTTGTCTAAAACACAAAAATCGCGAAACAGTCAGCTCACAAAGTTGCAGGTTGGTGGCAATTTGGCAGAACAGCCAATGACTTAAAACATTTAAGTGCATATATCTTGCCACAAGACATGTGCGCTAAGCTAGCCAAATGAGTTTCTGTTAGCGAATCAAGTTCAAGCTCCTCACATATCATCATCCAGGGTACAGTCATATGCTCATGAGGAGATCCCACGCAGGTAACACTACGGCAGTGCAACAAGTTAAATATGCACACATTTTAAGCTATTTCCTAATATCTAACCATTATGATAAATGTTTGCCTGCAACCGACACAACCAACACAAATGTCATTGAAAAAAACAAAACCCTGTGATCACATGTTTCGTTTTCTAGAACAGAAGAAGCACAATTTAAAAAGCCAGTAGTAATAAATCTTTGTGTTACTGCATGATCGAATGAAGTACCTGAAGTCTGGCTGGAATAAGAAGTGGTAATCTGTGTACTGTGCTAGTGATCTGCATAATTCACCTCATCTGTTTGGATGGCAGAAGTCGGCTAACTACACAGCTAATTTCATCAGGCTGCTAATGAAACATCTAAAATGATAGATGGTTAACTACACAACGGAAGTAACAGCATTACAATCACTTGATTTAATTACATTTTCCCCCCAAACATTTGATCCAAATTAGCAAAGTACTGCAGCCATCTGAACCTTCTAGGTGTTACATGTTACAGTGTTCCACTCTGGCCAGCTTTGAAAATGGAAAACTCTTTGCGTGGTTTACTCGGTTCTGTAAATAAGGCTCCTTTCATTTGTGAGACTGTATTCCACAGCCAGTTGTCTTCTCTCCCCTTTGGTCCGCCCTTACAAGGTGAAGGTGCTGCCCACCCATGATACCAGCAAGGTGCGTGCAAGTGGATCCGGCCTTAACACCACTGGAGCGCCCACCTCTCTGCCAGTGAAGGTCACCATTGATGCCAAAGATGCAGGTGAGGGACTGCTGGCAGTGCAGATCACTGTGAGTGCATGAACGTGGAGCACACAATAATGTATTCAAAGCATGATATTTAGGTAACAGTTTTTGTTTTCTCCTGAAGGACCCAGAGGGGAAGCCCAAGAAGCAGATATCTGTGACAGCCATGATGGGACCTACCTGGTGTTTTATGTGCCAGACATGACTGACAGATACACCACTCTCATTAAGTACGGAGGAGACAAGATCCCTTATTCACCCTACTGAATCAGGGCTCTGCCCACCGGAGATGCCAGCAAGTGCACTGTCACTGAATGTTGTCCAGTGGCCAGGTAGGACTCACTTCCTTGGTGCTTATACACTTTTAGTTTTCTTTGAAACGGCCCTTTAAGTCACTTGATCCATGACTTGAGCGAGCACTCTCCATTTGTTCATTTGATAGTTATTGTAGAAAAGATAAGAAATGATGCTTTAGTCTTTTTGTAAATTATAGTCAAACATACAATAAACTGAGGTATTCCCTTTGGTTAACAGAGCAATCCGATAATAAAAGTGGACAAAGCACATCGAGTTGCCACAAATATCTTTGTATATTACGCCAGTGGGGCAAAAAATGAGGTGACCAAATACTTCTTTTCCACCATAATTGCAAATCAGTTCTTTAAAACTCGGACAAGTTAGAGGTATACCTATGATGAAAATGACAGGCCTCCTCATATTTTTAAGTGGGAGAACGTGCACAATTGGTGGCTGACTAAATACTTTTTGCCCCACTGTATTTGATCCTGTCTCCCTCAATACTATTTAATATCTAAATGCTTGATTCATCATATTATAACAAATGTGCTGTTGTAGCTACTGACAGTGAGTTGATTCCATTTTTCCATCTACCAAGAGAAATAATATCTCTTAGTGGCAGGTGGATCACACGTTGATTCTAACACTTTGCATATGACTGGGTAGGATGAGCATTTATAAGCGCTTTGTGTGGTTTTTGTTTATTAAGGAAATACATCAGTTTCCCTTGTATTTTAAATTTGAGTGAAGATCCTAAATTGGCCCCCACTCTCACTTTGAGAAAAGGCTAATCTGTCTTATCCCCACATGAGCACAGTCAGATATAATACAGGCTTTCACTCAGGAGCAGGAAGGCTAAAGGCTGTTTAATGTTTGATCTAACTGTGTCAGACATTTGCGTTCTCACGTGCATGGACACTATCTTGAAACTTCCAGAGGCTGCAGTGCATGTGTAAAAGTGGTTAGAAAGCAGTGCTTTAACACAGGTTTTGTCTCTTTGCGTAGCTGCTCGGTCCATCCAGACTCCCCTCGATATACAACAGTGGATGCCAGCAACTCAAATACAAGCTCTCTCCAAGTGATTCCTTCATCATCAACATCTGCATCCATGATCCATTAGCTCAACAGCAACATCTGTCAGCTGTGCATCCAACTCGGGGGAATCGCCTGCTGTGCTCAGCCAGTGGGCCGCAATTTCTGTGCCTTGTTGATGGCCTCGCTGTATCCTGTGCTGGAGAAAGCTGGTGAGGAGACACTGCTGGTGAGCCAGGCGGCGCTGAGCTCCATGTAGGACATCAGTAAGGCCTGTGGATACACTTCCCTCAAGGAACTGATCAATGAGAACTCTGACTACCTGCTTAATGACATATCACTCAACCTTCAGAGGCTCAGCCAGCATCCACAGGTAGTTTATGAGGTGTTTTGTTTTTAGCCCAGAAATGGACACAGAAATGAGTGCTGGAGGGTTTACCCGATTTCCTTCTTTGTCTGCTTAAGCCTGTGCGTCCCTTTCAGTAAGTGATTTGAATCCACCTGACATTCAGAAGGTCGTGGTAGAGCATATCGTACGAAGGCAAGATGTCAAACACATCCAGTCCCCAGGTTAGACTCCGTACCTTCTCCGTAAGGTTCCCAGACCTAACAACAAAACTGATTATGACACGTGGCGCACACAAATTAACCTGCTCCAAAATGACCCAGCATGTCCCGCTGCAAATATCCAGAAAGATCCATGAGAGCCTGCTCCCACCAGCAGCTGATATAGTTAAAATGTGACTCACAGGTGCTATAGCGTACGGCCACAGCTTCACTCTGAGCTCCATCTCCATAGAGTGCAGACAGTGATATCTGATACTCCTTAAGACACAGGACAACAGTTTATTGAGATATTGTATTTTTTATTTCATAATATGTACTCCAACAACTCAATAGTTCTTCCCCACCTGCCTCAGGTCGCCTCCACTTAGGGAGATCCACTTAATGAGGTAAGAAACATCATCATCATCTGCAGCTTCCCAGCGCACCGTGATGTCACTGTCTGAGAAATTAGTTATCCTAAGGTCGAAGGAGGAGGCACCTTCACTAGAAGAAAGAATAATGTGTATGGGAATTTTTTAAAAATGGGAAAGCTACATCTTTATATCTTTCATTATTAATAACATTTACAGTACTGTGCAAAAGTCATGAGCCACACGCTAAAGTATTTCATTGGACATTATCTGTTTTTTCCAATCCTTTTTAATCCAGTTCTTGTACCTGACCATTTTCTGAGTAATGTTTTTTCTTTGTTGTTTGTTTGTGTAAAACTTGTTTGTTTGTTTGTGTAACACTTTGCACTGACCATTATTGGAGAATTAAAAAGCACCTAATTCAAGGAATATGTGTACACATAACAGAAAACTTGGGAAAGAACCAATTTGAAATCTTTAGCACTTTGTTACTAGCGGCCTGTCACAAAAACACATTTTGTATAATGTTTTTTTTTTTATTATCTTGTTAATAAAATGTATACAAATGTGTGTGGATTAATCACAATGTGTTAGTGTGTAATCACCCTGAGACATGCATGCCTGTCTGTAAGAGTCAGATCTAAAGCCACTTGTGATTTGGAGATGCAGCCTGCAGATTCTGTCCAGATTATTCCCAGCTCTCTTCACATATATATCCAGCTTCACTTATCAAATGTGTAAAATTCAAGGCTGGTCCTTAAAAGTTGCCAACATGCAAAAACTGCATAGCCACACAAGTCCAGCGTTTCCCACCGCAGCAGCTGTGAAACGAAAGAGGAGAAAGGATGAATGAGTGTTTGCTTATCGGCTCTCCGCTCTCCCCAAGCTGGCGTTGTTCTTGGTAGCCATGACAACGGAGATAGTCCCAGCTTTGTAAATACAGGCCCCAACACCAAAAAAGAAAAGAAAAAAAAAGGATTGGGATTCCCTGCGCAGACCAGGAATCCCCCTAGCAGACTGAAGACACAGAGAGGACCTGAAACTAGTGAGTGTGGTTCGAGCCCGAGCTCGAACCAGGGCCTGTCTGTGCTTCAAGTTGCCAGGGCGGCAAGTGTTCTGCGCCACCTGCGCCGTGTAAGCGTACAAATTTGCTATATTTGACTTCTCTGAAATAAAATTATTTTGAAAAAGGAAAAGTAATAATTTTAATGTGAGGCAAAACATGTATGGTGCTCGATAAAGATGACACGCCGACTCACTTCTTCTTCTTTCTTTTTTTTTGCAAAGTTTGTTTTCATATTAAACCAGTGTCAGTGACGTCATTCTATGCGACTACCACAGTAAAGGAAAAGCCTGGATCTGTACATCTTTTCTTTTCTTTTTGTTGTCTAAAACACAAAAATCGCGAAACAGTCAGCTCACAAAGTTGCAGGTTGGTGGCAATTTGGGCAGAACAGCCAATGACTTAAAACATTTAAGTGCATATATCTTGCCACAAGACATGTGCGCTAAGCTAGCCAAATTAGCTTCTGTTAGCGAATCAAGTTCAAGCTCCTCACATATCATCATCCAGGGTACAGTCATATGCTCATGAGGAGATCCCACGCAGGTAACAATACGGCAGTGCAACAAGTTAAATATGCACACATTTTAAGCTATTTCCTAATATCTAACCATTATGATAAATGTTTGCCTGCAACCGACACAACCAACACAAATGTCATTGAAAAAAACAAAACCCTGTGATCACATGTTTCTGTTTTTCTAGAACAGAAGAAGCACAATTTAAAAAGCCAGTAGTAATAAATCTTTGTTGTTACTGCATGATTCGAATGAAGTACCTGAAGTCTGGCTGGAATAAAAGTGTAATCTGTGTACTGTGCTAGTGATTGCATAATTCACCTCATCTGTTTGGATGGCAGAAGTCGGCTAACTACACAGCTAATTTCATCAGGCTGCTAATGAAACATCTAAAATGATAGATGGTTAACTACACAACGGAAGTAACAGCATTACAATCACTTGATTTAATTACATTTTCCCCCCAAACTTTGATCCAAATAGCAAAGTACTGCAGCCATCTGAACCTTCTAGGTGTTACATGTACAGTGTTCCACTCTGGCCAGCTTTGAAAATGGAAAACTCTTTGCGTGGTTTACTCGGTTCTGTAAATAAGGCTCCTTTCATTTGTGAGACTGTATTCCACAGCCAGTTGTCTTCTCTCCCCTTTGGTCCGCCCTTACAAGGTGAAGGTGCTGCCCACCCATGATACCAGCAAGGTGCGTGCAAGTGGATCCGGCCTTAACACCACTGGAGCGCCCACCTCTCTGCCAGTGAAGGTCACCATTGATGCCAAAGATGCAGGTGAGGGACTGCTGGCAGTGCAGATCACTGTGAGTGCATGAACGTGGACCACACAATAATGTATTCAAAGCATTGATATTTAGGTAACAGTTTTTGTTTTCTCCTGAAGGACCCAGAGGGGAAGCCAAGAAGCAGATTCTGTGACAGCCAGATGGGACTACCTGGTTTTTGTGCAGACATGACTGACAGATACACCCTCATAAGTAGGAGGGACAAGATCCTTATTCACCCTACTGATCAGGGCTCTGCCCACCGGAGATGCCAGCAAGTGCACTGTCACTGAATGTTGTCCAGTGGCCAGGTAGGACTCACTTCTTGTCTTATACACTTTTAGTTTTCTTTGAAAACGCCCTTAAGTCATTGATCCAGACTGAGCGACATCTCCATTTGTTCATTTATAGTTATTGTAGAAAGATAAGAAATGATGCTTAGTCTTTTTGTAAATTATAGTCAAACATACAATAAACTGAGTATTCCTTTGGTTAACAGAGAATCCGATAAAAAAGTGGACAAAGCACAGAGTTGCACAAATATCTGTAATTAACCAGTGGGGCAAAAAATGAGGTGACAAATACTTCTTTTCCACCATAATTGCAAATCAGTTCTTTAAAACTCGGACAAGTTAGAGTATACCTATGATGAAAATACAGGCCTTCTCATATTTTAAGTGGGAGAACGGCACAATTGTGGCTACAAATATTTTTTGCCCCACGTATTTGATCCGTTCCCTCAAATATTTAATATTAAATGCTTGATTCATCATATATAAAAATGTGCTGTTGTAGCTACTGACAGTGATTTGATTCCATTTTTTCCATCTACCAAAGAGAAATAATATCTCTTAGTGGCAGGTGGATCACACGTTGATTCTAACACTTTGCATATGACTGGGTAGGATGAGCATTTTATAAGCGCTTGTGTGGTTTTTGTTATTTAAGGAAATACATCAGTTTCCCTTGTATTTTAAATTTGAGTGAAGATCCTAAATTGGCCCCCACTCTTCACTTTGAGAAAAGGCTAATCTGTCTTATCCCCACATGAGCACAGTCAGATATAATACAGGCTTTCACTCAGGAGCAGGAAGGCTAAAGGCTTTTAATGTTTGATCTAACTGTGTCAGACATTTGCGTTCTCACGTGCATGGACAATATCTTGAAAACTTCAGAGCTGCAGTGCATGTGTAAAAGTGGTTAGAAAGCAGTGCTTTAACACAGGTTTTGTCTCTTTGCGTAGCTGCTCGGTCCATCCAGACTCCCCTCGATATACAACAGTGATGCCAGCAACTCAAATACAAGCTCTCTCCAAGTGATTCCTTCATCATCAACATCTGCATCCATGATCCATTAGCTCAACAGCAACATCTGTCAGCTGTGCATCCAACTCGGGGAATCGCCTGCTGTGCTCAGCCAGTGGGCCGCAATTTCTGTGCCTTGTTGATGGCCTCGCTGTATCCTGTGCTGGAGAAAGCTGGTGAGGAGACACTGCTGGTGAGCCAGGCGGCGCTGAGCTCCATGTAGGGACATCAGTAAGGCCTGTGGATACACTTCCCTCAAGGAACTGATCAATGAGAACTCTGACTACCTGCTTAATGACATATCACTCAACCTTCAGAGGCTCAGCCAGCATCCACAGGTAGTTATGAGGTGTTTTTGTTTTTAGCCAAAATGGACACAGAAATGAGTGCTGGAGGGTTTACCCGATTTCCTTCTTTGGTCTGCTTAAGCCTGTGCGTCCCTTTCAGTAAGTGATTTGAATCCACCTGACATTCAGAAGGTCGTGGTAGAGCATATCGTACGAAGGCAAGATGTCAAACAACATCAGTCCCAGGTTAGACTCCGTACCTTCTCCCGGTTAAGGTTCCCAGACCTAAAACAAAACTGGATTATGACACGTGGCGCACACAAATTAACCTGCTCCAAATGACCCCAGCATGTCCCCGCTGCAAATATCCGAAAGATCCATGAGAGCCTGCTCCACCAGCAGCTGATATAGTTAAAATGTGTGACTCACAGGTCTAGCTGATAGCGTACGGCCACGCTTCATCTGAGCTCCATCTCCATAGAGTGCAGACAGTGATATCTGATACTCCTTAAGACACAGGACAACAGTTTATTGAGATATTGTATTTTTTATTTCATAATATGTACTCCAACAACTCAATAGTTCTTTCCCCACCTGCCTCAGGTCGCCTCCACTTAGGGAGATCCACTTAATGAGGTAAGAAACATCATCATCATCTGCAGCTTCCCAGCGCACCGTGATGTCACTGTCTGAGAAATTAGTTATCCTAAGGTCTGAAGGAGGAGGCACCTTCACTAGAAGAAAAGAATAATGTGTATGGGAATTTTTTAAAAATGGGAAAGCTACATCTTTATATCTTTCATTATTAATACATTTACAGTACTGTGCAAAAGTCATGACCACACGCTAAAGTATTTCATTGGACATTATCTGTTTTTTCCAATCCTTTTTAATCCAGTTCTTGTACCTGACCATTTTCTGAGTAATGTTTTTTGTTTGTTTGTTTGTTTGTGTAAACACTGTTTTGTTTGTTTTGTTTGTTGTAAACACTTTGCACTGACCATTATGGAGAATTAAAAAGCACTAATTCAAGGAATATGTGTACACATAAAGAAAACTTGGGAAAGAACCAATTTGAAATCTTTAAGCACTTTGTTACTAGCGGCCTGTCACAAAAACACATTTGTATAGTGTTTTTTTTTTCTTTTAATAAATTATACAAATGGTTGTGATTAATCGTTTAGTGTGTAATCACCCTGAACATGCATGCCTTCTGTAAGAGTCAATCTAAAGCCACTTCTTTTTTTTTTTTTTTTTTTTTGCCTGTCCGTTTGGCTCTTTTCCTCAGATTGTTGTCTAAAGGCAATAGAAAGATAGCCCAACGGATTTACTTTACCAAATTTGACCATTCCCAGCCTTGCCCGTAATGGTCCATTGTTGATTCACCTTTTTATTGTTTATTTTATTTTCACTTGGCTGATACGGGACAGACTTGACTGGGGGGAAAGCAAGGGGAGAAAAGATAAGGAGGGAAAGAGAGAAACAGCTGAGTAAGTAGGGACGGGGAGAAGGGCAAAAAACAAAAACCAACAGAATGAGCAGAAAAAAAAAAAGAAATAAAAAATGCATATATCGATCCACCTGGACTCACCTGCTGCAGTAAAGAAAAAAAGGAAACAAAGCAGAAAGGAACAAGAGGTAACTAGAATAACCGGCAATCAAAATGATATATGGGAATTATGACAGTAATATACTAAATATATAAACGATTTATTGTGCAGCACATAAGATCAACAGAACACAGTGTGCTTTGAGTAGGACCCAAAAAGGTGTAGTTTGTGGGTGTGATCACCCATGTGTACATCCTGTGAGCATGGATGCGCTTGTTTTTTTTTAAAAAAGGTTCCTTCATGTAATGATCTGCTAGAGGGTGTTGGGGGGGGCCACAGCCCCGTCCTCCAGGGCATGAAGCAGGTATGGAGGAGATCAAAACTCCCAGACATCCAGAGGCCCCCCAGAACACAAGAGACCAAGGAAGACCAACAGAGGGCAGGCCGTGCCACTTGTCCCCAGAAAGAGCTGAGAGAAGTCGCCAAGATGAGGGCTCACTCAGCAGCCGGCGGGAGCAGAAGCCAGGGAGTTGCAGTGACCGCATGAGCCTCCGCGGCAGAGCCGTCCTGAGTGACCGAGCCCCGAGGCTCCGGGGGCACCCCCCTCGAATGAACAGATCCGGCCCCGATCGCCAGCCAAGGGAGTGAGCCGGTGTGTACCTGGACGCCCATCCCGGACACAAGAACCACCAACGCACCGATGTCTGAGGGAGTCCGCCACTGGCAGGGGAAGTGGTGGTAGGGGAGATAGGCCTCCAAACCTTGGAGGGCCTGAGATGTCCCCAGAGAGGTGGCGCCTGACACCCAACCTGACATATAGACACAGAAATACAGGCACACACATATACAAACATCCATTCCCACCCTCATGCTCTCATATGCACTTACTCCACACTCAACCAACGTGGAGACAGACATAAAGAGACGCTGTACACACGATCACACTCCCCAAGCGTACCCTACAAACCGGGTCTAGGTACCCTTGCCCCTGGAGGGGGAACTGCACCCAGACCCAGGTGGTATTACCCTTTTCCCTGCGGTGGGGGAGGCAGACCGCCCCGACTCCGCAGCAGCAGGGAGGCCCCACACCCCAGACCGCAGTCGGACGGCCAACTCCTCCTCCTCCTAGCCCCCCCCGCTCCAGCAGGTCGCAGAGAATGGGGGTGAGAGAAGACTCCAAACCTCCCTCCACCCGCTCATTGTAGTGTTGATGCATGTGTGTTCTAAGGTGCATTTAAAACCCAGGAGGGCATGGAGCTACCTGCCAGAGAGCAGCAGGTAAGCGCATGGTCCCTCCTGCTAGCCCTCAATGTCTACCGGTATGTGTATTTAACCTTGAGAGCACTTTGTTACTAGCGGCCTGTCACAAAAACACATTTTGTATAGTGTTTTTTTTATTATCTTGTTAATAAAATGTATACAAATGTGTGTGATTAATCACAATGTGTTAGTGTGTAATCACCCTGAGACATGCATGCCTGTCTGTAAGAGTCAGATCTAAAGCCACTTGTGATTTGGAGATGCAGCCTGCAGATTCTGTCCAGATTATCCCAGCTCTCTTCACTATATATCCAGGCTTCACTTATCAAATGTGTAAAATTCAAGGCTGGTCCTTAAAAGTTGCCAACAATGCAAAAACTGCATAGCCACACAAGTCCCAGCGTTTCCCACCGCAGCAGCTGTGAAACGAAAGAGGAGAAAGGATGAATGAGTGTTTGCTTATCGGCTCTCCGCTCTCCCCAAGCTGGCGTTGTTCTTGGTAGCCATGACAACGGAGATAGTCCCAGCTTTGTAAATACAGGCCCCAACAGCCCAAAAAAGAAAAGAAAAAAAAGGATTGGGATTCCCTGCGCAGACCAGGAATCCCCCTAGCAGACTGAAGACACAGATAGGACCTGAACTCAGTGAGTGTGTTCGAGCCGAGGCTCGAACCAGGGCCTGTCTGTGCTTCAAGTTGCCAGGGCCGGCAGGTGTTTGCGCCACCTGCCCGCCGTGTAAGCTGTACAAATTTGCTATATTTGACTTCTCTGAATATAAATTATTTTTGAAAAGGAAAAATAATTTTAATGTGAGGCAAAACATGTATGGTGCTCGATAAAGATGACACGCCGACTCACTTCTTCTTCTTTCTTTTTTTTGCAAAGTTTGTTTTCATATTAAACCAGTGTCAGTGACGTCATTCTATGCGACTACCACAGTAAAGGAAAAGCCTGGATCTGTACATCTTTTTCTTTTCTTTTTGTTGTCTAAAACACAAAAATCGCGAAACAGTCAGCTCACAAAGTTGCAGGTTGGTGGCAATTTGGCAGAACAGCCAATGACTTAAAACATTTAAGTGCATATATCTTGCCACAAGACATGTGCGCTAAGCTAGCCAAATGAGTTTCTGTTATCGAATCAAGTTCAAGCTCCTCACATATCATCATCCAGGGTACAGTCATATGCTCATGAGGAGATCCCACGCAGGTAACACTACGGCAGTGCAACAAGTTAAATATGCACACATTTTAAGCTATTTCCTAATATCTAACCATTATGATAAATGTTTGCCTGCAACCGACACAACCAACACAAATGTCATTGAAAAAAACAAAACCCTGTGATCACATGTTTCTGTTTTTCTAGAACAGAAGAAGCACAATTTAAAAAGCCAGTAGTAATAAATCTTTGTTGTTACTGCATGATTCGAATGAAGTACCTGAAGTCTGGCTGGAATAAGAAGTGGTAATCTGTGTACTGTGCTAGTGATCTGCATAATTCACTCATCTGTTTGGATGGCAGAAGTCGGCTAACTACACAGCTAATTTCATCAGGCTGCTAATGAAACATCTAAAATGATAGATGGTTAACTACACAACGGAAGTAACAGCATTACAATCACTTGATTTAATTACATTTTCCCCCCAAACATTTGATCCAAATTAGCAAAGTACTGCAGCCATCTGAACCTTCTAGGTGTTACATGTTACAGTGTTCCACTCTGGCCAGCTTTGAAAATGGAAAACTCTTTGCGTGGTTTACTCGGTTCTGTAAATAAGGCTCCTTTCATTTGTGAGACTGTATTCCACAGCCAGTTGTCTTCTCTCCCCTTTGGTCCGCCCTTACAAGGTGAAGGTGCTGCCCACCCATGATACCAGCAAGGTGCGTGCAAGTGGATCCGGCCTTAACACCACTGGAGCGCCCACCTCTCTGCCAGTGAAGGTCACCATTGATGCCAAAGATGCAGGTGAGGGACTGCTGGCAGTGCAGATCACTGTGAGTGCATGAACGTGGAGCACACAATAATGTATTCAAAGCATTGATATTTAGGTAACAGTTTTTGTTTTCTCCTGAAGGACCCAGAGGGGAAGCCCAAGAAGCAGATATCTGTGACAGCCATGATGGGACCTACCTGGTGTTTTATGTGCCAGACATGACTGACAGATACACCACTCTCATTAAGTACGGAGGAGACAAGATCCCTTATTCACCCTACTGAATCAGGGCTCTGCCCACCGGAGATGCCAGCAAGTGCACTGTCACTGAATGTTGTCCAGTGGCCAGGTAGGACTCACTTCCTTGGTTGCTTATACACTTTTAGTTTTCTTTGAAAACGGCCCTTTAAGTCACTTGATCCATGACTTGAGCGAGCACTCTCCATTTGTTCATTTCATAGTTATTGTAGAAAAGATAAGAAATGATGCTTTAGTCTTTTTGTAAATTATAGTCAAACATACAATAAACTGAGGTATTCCCTTTGTTTAACAGAGCAATCCGATAATAAAAGTGGACAAAGCACATCGAGTTGCCACAAATATCTTTGTATATTACGCAGTGGGGCAAAAAATGAGGTGACCAAATACTTCTTTTCCACCATAATTTGCAAATCAGTTCTTTAAAACTCGGACAAGTTAGAGGTATACCTATGATGAAAATGACAGGCCTCTCTCATATTTTTAAGTGGGAGAACGTGCACAATTGGTGGCTGACTAAATACTTTTTTGCCCCACTGTATTTGATCCTGTCTCCCTCAATACTATTTAATATCTAAATGCTTGATTCATCATATTAACAAATGTGCTGTTGTAGCTACTGACAGTGAGTTTGATTCCATTTTTTCCATCTACCAAAGAGAAATAATATCTCTTAGTGGCAGGTGGATCACACGTTGATTCTAACACTTTGCATATGACTGGGTAGGATGAGCATTTTATAAGCGCTTGTGTGGTTTTTGTTTATTTAAGGAAATACATCAGTTTCCCTTGTATTTTAAATTTGAGTGAAGATCCTAAATTGGCCCCCACTCTTCACTTTGAGAAAAGGCTAATCTGTCTTATCCCCACATGAGCACAGTCAGATATAATACAGGCTTTCACTCAGGAGCAGGAAGGCTAAAGGCTGTTTAATGTTTGATCTAACTGTGTCAGACATTTGCGTTCTCACGTGCATGGACAATATCTTGAAAACTTCAGAGCTGCAGTGCATGTGTAAAAGTGGTTAGAAAGCAGTGCTTTAACACAGGTTTTGTCTCTTTGCGTAGCTGCTCGGTCCATCCAGACTCCCCTCGATATACAACAGTGATGCCAGCAACTCAAATACAAGCTTCTCTCCAAGTGATTCCTTCATCATCAACATCTGCATCCATGATCCATTAGCTCAACAGCAACATCTGTCAGCTGTGCATCCAACTCGGGGGAATCGCCTGCTGTGCTCAGCCAGTGGGCCGCAATTTCTGTGCCTTGTTGATGGCCTCGCTGTATCCTGTGCTGGAGAAAGCTGGTGAGGAGACATGCTGGTGAGCCAGGCGGCGCTGAGCTCCATGTAGGACATCAGTAAGGCCTGTGGATACACTTCCCTCAAGGAACTGATCAATGAGAACTCTGACTACCTGCTTAATGACATATCACTCAACCTTCAGAGGCTCAGCCAGCATCCACAGGTAGTTATGAGGTGTTTTTGTTTTTAGCCCAGAATGGACACAGAAATGAGTGCTGGAGGGTTTACCCGATTTCCTTCTTTGTCTGCTTAAGCCTGTGCGTCCCTTTCAGTAAGTGATTTGAATCCACCTGACATTCAGAAGGTCGTGGTAGAGCATATCGTACGAAGGCAAGATGTCAAACACATCCAGTCCCAGGTTAGACTCCGTACCTTCTCCGGTAAGGTTCCCAGACCTAACAACAAAACTGATTATGACACGTGGCGCACACAAATTAACCTGCTCCAAAATGACCCCAGCATGTCCCCGCTGCAAATATCCAGAAAGATCCATGAGAGCCTGCTCCCACCAGCAGCTGATATAGTTAAAATGTGTGACTCACAGGTGCTATAGCGTACGGCCACAGCTTCACTCTGAGCTCCATCTCCATAGAGTGCAGACAGTGATATCTGATACTCCTTAAGACACAGGACAACAGTTTATTGAGATATTGTATTTTTTATTTCATAATATGTACTCCAACAACTCAATAGTTCTTCCCCACCTGCCTCAGGTCGCCTCCACTTAGGGAGATCCACTTAATGAGGTAAGAAACATCATCATCATCTGCAGCTTCCCAGCGCACCGTGATGTCACTGTCTGAGAAATTAGTTATCCTAAGGTCTGAAGGAGGAGGCACCTTCACTAGAAGAAAAGAATAATGTGTATGGGAATTTTTTAAAAATGGGAAAGCTACATCTTTATATCTTTCATTATTAATAACATTTACAGTACTGTGCAAAAGTCATGAGCCACACGCTAAAGTATTTCATTGGACATTATCTGTTTTTTCCAATCCTTTTTAATCCAGTTCTTGTACCTGACCATTTTCTGAGTAATGTTTTTTGTTTGTTTGTTTGTTTGTGTAAACACTTGTTTGTTTGTTTGTTTGTTTGTGTAAACACTTTGCACTGACCATTATTGGAGAATTAAAAAGCACCTAATTCAAGGAATATGTGTACACATAACAGAAAACTTGGGAAAGAACCAATTTGAAATCTTTAAGCACTTTGTTACTAGCGGCCTGTCACAAAAACACATTTTGTATAGTGTTTTTTTTTTATCTTGTTAATAAAATGTATACAAATGTGTGTGATTAATCACAATGTGTTAGTGTGTAATCACCCTGAGACATGCATGCCTGTCTGTAAGAGTCAGATCTAAAGCCACTTGTGATTTGGAGATGCAGCCTGCAGATTCTGTCCAGATTATCCCAGCTCTCTTCACTATATATCCAGGCTTCACTTATCAAATGTGTAAAATTCAAGGCTGGTCCTTAAAAGTTGCCAACAATGCAAAAACTGCATAGCCACACAAGTCCAGCGTTTCCCACCGCAGCAGCTGTGAAACGAAAGAGGAGAAAGGATGAATGAGTGTTTGCTTATGGGCTCTCCGCTCTCCCCCAAGCTGGCGTTGTTCTTGGTAGCCATGACAACGGAGATAGTCCCAGCTTTGTAAATACAGGCCCCAACAGCCAAAAAAGAAAAGAAAAAAAAAGGATTGGGATTCCCTGCGCAGACCAGGAATCCCCCTAGCAGACTGAAGACACAGATAGGACCTGAACTCAGTGAGTGTGTTCGAGCCGAGGCTCGAACCAGGGCCTGTCTGTGCTTCAAGTTGCCAGGGGCCGGCAAGTGTTCTGCACCACCTGGCGGCCGTGTAAGCTGTACAAATTTGCTATATTTGACTTCTCTGAATATAAATTATTTTGAAAAGGAAAATAATAATTTTAATGTGAGGCAAAACATGTATGGTGCTCGATAAAGATGACACGCCGACTCACTTCTTCTTCTTTTTCTTTTTTTTGCCAACAAAGTTTGGTTTTCATTATTATAAGCCAGTGTCCAGTGACGTCATTCTATGCGACTAAAACCACAGTAAAGGAAAAGGCCTGGGAATCTGTTACATCTTTTTCTTTTACTTTTTGGTTGTCTAAATACACAAAAAATCGGGAAAACAGTTCAGCCTCACCAAAGTTTAGCAAGGTTGGTGGCAAATTTGGGCAGAACAAGCCAATGACTTAAAACATTTAAGTGCATATATCTTTGCCACAAGACCATGCTGCGCTAAAGCTAGCCAATATTTGAGTTTCTGTTATTAGCGGAATCAAGTTCAAGTCCTCCACATATCATCATCACAGGGTTACACGTCAAGTATGCCTCAAATGAGGAGATCCTACACGCAGTAACACTACGGCAGTGCAACAAAGTTAAAAATATAGGCACACATTTTTAAGCTATTTCCTAATATATCTAACCATTATGATAAATGTTTGCCTGCAACCGACACAACCAACACAAATGTCATTGAAAAAAACAAAACCCTGTGATCACATGTTTCTGTTTTTCTAGAACAGAAGAAGCACAATTTAAAAAGCCAGTAGTAATAAATCTTTGTTGTTACTGCATGATTCGAATGAAGTACCTGAAGTCTGGCTGGAATAAGAAGTGGTAATCTGTGTACTGTGCTAGTGATCTGCATAATTCACCTCATCTGTTTGGATGGCAGAAGTCGGCTAACTACACAGCTAATTCATCAGGCTGCTAATGAAACATCTAAAATGATAGATGGTTAACTACACAACGGAAGTAACAGCATTACAATCACTTGATTTAATTACATTTCCCCCCAAACTTTGATCCAAATTAGCAAAGTACTGCAGCCATCTGAACCTTCTAGGTGTTACATGTTACAGTGTTCCACTCTGGCCAGCTTTGAAAATGGAAAACTCTTTGCGTGGTTTACTCGGTTCTGTAAATAAGGCTCCTTTCATTTGTGAGACTGTATTCCACAGCCAGTTGTCTTCTCTCCCTTTGGTCCGCCCTTACAAGGTGAAGGTGCTGCCCACCCATGATACCAGCAAGGTGCGTGCAAGTGGATCCGGCCTTAACACCACTGGAGCGCCCACCTCTCTGCCAGTGAAGGTCACCATTGATGCCAAAGATGCAGGTGAGGGACTGCTGGCAGTGCAGATCACTGTGAGTGCATGAACGTGGAGCACACAATAATGTATTCAAAGCATTGATATTTAGGTAACAGTTTTTGTTTTCTCCTGAAGGACCCAGAGGGGAAGCCCAAGAAGCAGATATCTGTGACAGCCATGATGGGACCTACTGGTGTTTTATGTGCCAGACATGACTGACAGATACACCACTCTCATTAAGTACGGAGGAGACAAGATCCCTTATTCACCCTACTGAATCAGGGCTCTGCCCACCGGAGATGCCAGCAAGTGCACTGTCACTGAATGTTGTCCAGTGGCCAGGTAGGACTCACTTCCTTGGTTGCTTATACACTTTTAGTTTTCTTTGAAAACGGCCCTTTAAGTCACTTGATCCATGACTTGAGCGAGCACTCTCCATTTGTTCATTTCATAGTTATTGTAGAAAGATAAGAAATGATGCTTTAGTCTTTTTGTAAATTATAGTCAAACATACAATAAACTGAGGTATTCCCTTTGGTTAACAGAGCAATCCGATAATAAAAGTGGACAAAGCACATCGAGTTGCCACAAATATCTTTGTATATTACGCAGTGGGGCAAAAAATGAGGTGACCAAATACTTCTTTTCCACCATAATTTGCAAATCAGTTCTTTAAAACTCGGACAAGTTAGAGGTATACCTATGATGAAAATGACAGGCCTCTCTCATATTTTTAAGTGGGAACGTGCACAATTGGTGGCTGACTAAATACTTTTTTGCCCCACTGTATTTGATCCTGTCTCCCTCAATACTATTTAATATCTAAATGCTTGATTCATCATATTATAACAAATGTGCTGTTGTAGCTACTGACAGTGAGTTTGATTCCATTTTTTCCATCTACCAAAGAGAAATAATATCTCTTAGTGGCAGGTGGATCACACGTTGATTCTAACACTTTGCATATGACTGGGTAGGATGAGCATTTTATAAGCGCTTGTGTGGTTTTTGTTTATTTAAGGAAATACATCAGTTTCCCTTGTATTTTAAATTTGAGTGAAGATCCTAAATTGGCCCCACTCTTCACTTTGAGAAAAGGCTAATCTGTCTTATCCCCACATGAGCACAGTCAGATATAATACAGGCTTTCACTCAGGAGCAGGAAGGCTAAAGGCTGTTTAATGTTTGATCTAACTGTGTCAGACATTTGCGTTCTCACGTGCATGGACAATATCTTGAAAACTTCAGAGCTGCAGTGCATGTGTAAAAGTGGTTAGAAAGCAGTGCTTTAACACAGGTTTTGTCTCTTTGCGTAGCTGCTCGGTCCATCCAGACTCCCCTCGATATACAACAGTGATGCCAGCAACTCAAATACAAGCTCTCCCAAGTGATTCCTTCATCATCAACATCTGCATCCATGATCCATTAGCTCAACAGCAACATCTGTCACTGTGCATCCAACTCGGGGGAATCGCCTGCTGTGCTCAGCCAGTGGGCCGCAATTTCTGTGCCTTGTTGATGGCCTCGCTGTATCCTGTGCTGGAGAAAGCTGGTGAGGAGACACTGCTGGTGAGCCAGGCGGCGCTGAGCTCCATGTAGGACATCAGTAAGGCCTGTGGATACACTTCCCTCAAGGAACTGATCAATGAGAACTCTGACTACCTGCTTAATGACATATCACTCAACCTTCAGAGGCTCAGCCAGCATCCACAGGTAGTTATGAGGTGTTTTTGTTTTTAGCCCAGAATGGACACAGAAATGAGTGCTGGAGGGTTTACCCGATTTCCTTCTTTGTCTGCTTAAGCCTGTGCGTCCCTTTCAGTAAGTGATTTGAATCCACCTGACATTCAGAGGTCGTGGTAGAGCATATCGTACGAAGGCAAGATGTCAAACACATCCAGTCCCAGGTTAGACTCCGTACTTCTCCGGTAAGGTTCCCAGACCTAACAACAAACTGATTATGACACGTGGCGCACACAAATTAACCTGCTCCAAAATGACCCAGCATGTCCCGCTGCAAATATCCAGAAAGATCCATGAGAGGCCTGCTCCCACCAGCAGCTGATATAGTTAAAATGTGTGACTCACAGGTGCTATAGCGTACGGCCACAGCTTCACTCTGAGCTCCATCTCCATAGAGTGCAGACAGTGATATCTGATACTCCTTAAGACACAGGACAACAGTTTATTGAGATATTGTATTTTTTTATTTCATAATATGTACTCCAACAACTCAATAGTTCTTCCCCACCTGCCTCAGGTCGCCTCCACTTAGGGAGATCCACTTAATGAGGTAAGAAAACATCATCATCATCTGCAGCTTCCCAGCGCACCGTGATGTCACTGTCTGAGAAATAGTTATCTAAGGTCTGAAGGAGGAGGCACCTTCACTAGAAGAAAGAATAATGTGTATGGGAATTTTTTAAAAATGGGAAAGCTACATCTTTATATCTTTCATTATTAATAACATTTACAGTACTGTGCAAAAAGTCATGAGCCACACGCTAAAGTATTTCATTGGACATTATCTGTTTTTTCCAATCCTTTTTAATCCAGTTCTTGTACCTGACCATTTTCTGAGTAATGTTTTTTCTTTGTTTGTTTGTTTGTGTAAACACTTGTTTGTTTGTTTGTTTGTTTGTTTGTGTAAACACTTTGCACTGACCATTATTGGAGAATTAAAAAGCACCTAATTCAAGGAATATGTGTACACATAACAGAAAACTTGGGAAAGAACCAATTTGAAATCTTTAAGCACTTTGTTACTAGCGGCCTGTCAAAAAACACATTTTGTATAGTGTTTTTTTTTTTATCTTGTTAATAAAATTTATACAAATGTGTGTGATTAATCACAATGTGTTAGTGTGTAATCACCCTGAGACATGCATGCCTGTCTGTAAGAGTCAGATCTAAAGCCACTTCTTTTTTTTCTTTTTTTCTTTTTTTTTGCCTGTCCCGTTTGGCTCTTTTGCCATCAGAATTGTTGTCTAAAGGCAAAGAAAGATGCCCAACGGATTTACTTTACCAAATTGACCATCCCAGCCTTGCCGTAATGGTCCATTTGATTCACCTTTTATTGTTTATTTTTATTTTCACTTGCTGAATACGGGACAGACTTGACTGGGGGAAAGAAGGGGAGAAAGAAAGAGGGAAAGAGAAACAGCTGAGAAGAGGGACGGGGGAGAAGGGCAAAAAACAAAAACCAACAGAATGAGCAGAAAAAAAAAAAGAAATAAAAAATGCATATATCGATCACCTGGATCACCTGCTGAGAAAGAAAAAAGAAACAAGCAGAAGAGAACAAGAGTAATAGAATAAACAGCATCACAATGATATATGGGAATATGACAGTAAATACTAAATATTAAACATTATTGTGCAGCACATAAGATCAACAGAACACAGTGTGCTTTGAGGTAGGAGCCAAAAAGGGTGTAGTTTGTGGGTGTGATCACCATGTGTACACCTGTGAGCATGGATGCGCTTGTTTTTTTTAAAAAGGTTCCTTCATGTAATGATCTGCTAGAGGGTGTGGGGGGGCCACAGCCCCTCCTCCAGGGCATGAAGCAGGTATGGAGGAGATCAAAACTCCAGACATCCAGAGGCCCCCAGAACACAAGAGACCAAGGAAGACCAACAGAGGGGCAGCCGCGCCACTGTCCCAGAAAGAGCTGAGGAGAGTCCCAGATGAGGGCTCACTCAGCAGCCGCGGAGCAGAAGCCAGGGGGAGTTGCAGTGACGCGCCCGTGAGTGGCCCGAGCGAGCCCCAGCTCCAGGCCCCGATAAGCGGCCGCCAAGGAGTGAGCCGGTGTGTACCTGGACGCCCATCCCCGGACACAAAGAACCACCAACGCACCGATGTCTGAGGGAGTCCGCCACTGGCAGGGGAAGTGGTGGTAGGGGAGATAGGCCTCCAAACCTTGGAGGGCCTGAGATGTCCCCAGAGAGGTGGCGCCTGACACCCAACCTGACATATAGACACAGAAATACAGGCCACACATATACAAACATCCATTCCCACCCTCATGCTCTCATATGCACTTACTCCACACTCAACCAACGTGGAGACAGACATAAAGAGACGCTGTACACACGATCACACTCCCCAAGCGTACCCTACAAACCGGGTCTAGGTACCCTTGCCCCTGGAGGGGGAACTGCACCCAGACCCAGGTGGTATTCCCTTTTCCCTCGGTGGGGGGAGGCAGACCGCCCCGACTCCGCAGCAGCAGGGAGGCCCCCACACCCCAGACCGCAGTCGGACGGCCAACTCCTCCTCCTAGCCCCCCCCCCGCTCCAGCAGGTCGCAGAGAATGGGGTGAGAGAAGACTCCAAACCTCCCTCCACCCGCTCATTGTAGTGTTGATGCATTGTGTTCTAAGGTGCATTTAAAACCCAGGAGGGCATGGAGCTACCTGCCAGAGAGCAGCAGTAAGCGCATGGTCCCTCTGCTACCCTCAATGTCTACCGGTATGTTATTTAACCTTGAGAGCACTTTGTTACTAGCGGCCTGTCACAAAAACACATTTTGTATAGTGTTTTTTTTATTATCTTGTTAATAAAATGTATACAAATGTGTGTGATTAATCACAATGTGTTAGTGTGTAATCACCCTGAGACATGCATGCCTGTCTGTAAGAGTCAGATCTAAAGCCACTTGTGATTTGGAGATGCAGCCTGCAGATTGTTCCAGATTATCCCAGCTCTCTTCACTATATATCCAGGCTTCACTTATCAAATGTGTAAATTCAAGGCTGGTCCTTAAAAGTTGCCAACAATGCAAAAACTGCATAGCCACACAAGTCCAGCGTTTCCCACCGCAGCAGCTGTGAAACGAAAGAGGAGAAAGGATGAATGAGTGTTTGCTTATCGGCTCTCCGCTCTCCCCCAAGCTGGCGTTGTTCTTGGTAGCCATGACAACGGAGATAGTCCCAGCTTTGTAAATACAGGCCCCAACAGCCCAAAAGAAAAGAAAAAAAAAAGGATTGGGATTCCCTGCGCAGCCAGGAATCCCCCTAGCAGACTGAAGACACAGATAGGACCTGAACTCAGTGAGTGTTTCGAGCCGAGCTCGACCAGGGCCTGTCTGTGCTTCAAGTTGCCAGGGGCCGGCAAGTGTTCTGCGCCACCTGCCGCCGTGTAGCTGTACAAATTGCTATATTTGACTTCTCTGAATATAAATGATTTTGAAAAGGCAAATAATAATTTTAATGTGAGGCAAAACATGTATGGTGCTCGATAAAGATGACACGCCGACTCACTTCTTCTTCTTTCTTTTTTTGCAAGTTTGTTTCATATTAAACCAGTGTCAGTGACGTCATTCTATGCGACTACCACAGTAAAGGAAAGCCTGATCTGTACATCTTTTTCTTTCTTTTGTTGTCTAAAACACAAAATCGCGAAACAGTCAGCTCACAAAGTTGCAGGTTGGTGGCAATTTGGCAGAACAGCCAATGACTTAAAACATTTAAGTGCATATATCTTGCCACAAGACATGTGCGCTAAGCTAGCCAAATTAGTTTCTGTTAGCGAATCAAGTTCAAGCTCCTCACATATCATCATCCAGGGTACAGTCATATGCTCATGAGGAGATCCCACGCAGGTAACACTACGGCAGTGCAACAAGTTAAATATGCACACATTTAAGCTATTTCCTAATATCTAACCATTATGATAAATGTTTGCCTGCAACCGACACAACCAACACAAATGTCATTGAAAAAACAAAACCCTGTGATCACATGTTTCTGTTTTCTAGAACAGAAGAAGCACAATTTAAAAAGCCAGTAGTAATAATCTTGTTGTTACTGCATGATTCGAATGAAGTACCTGAAGTCTGGCTGGAATAAAGTGGTCATTGTGTACTGTGCTAGTGATCTGCATAATTCACCTCATCTGTTGGATGGCAGAAGTCGGCTAACTACACAGCTAATTTCATCAGGCTGCTAATGAAACATCTAAAATGATAGATGGTTAACTACACAACGGAAGTAACAGCATTACAATCACTTGATTTAATTACATTTCCCCCAAACATTTGATCCAAATTAGCAAAGTACTGCAGCCATCTGAACCTTCTAGGTGTTACATGTTACAGTGTTCCACTCTGGCCAGCTTTGAAAATGGAAACTCTTTGCGTGGTTTACTCGGTTCTGTAAATAAGGCTCCTTTCATTTGTGAGACTGTATTCCACAGCCAGTTGTCTTCTCTCCCTTTGGTCCGCCTTACAAGGTGAAGGTGCTGCCCACCCATGATACCAGCAAGGTGCGTGCAAGTGGATCCGGCCTTAACACCACTGGAGCGCCCACCTCTCTGCCAGTGAAGGTCACCATTGATGCCAAAGATGCAGGTGAGGGACTGCTGGCAGTGCAGATCACTGTGAGTGCATGAACGTGGACCACACAATATGTATTCAAAGCATTGATATTTAGGTAACAGTTTTTGTTTTCTCCTGAAGGACCCAGAGGGGAAGCCCAAGAAGCAGATATCTGTGACAGCCATGATGGGACCTACCTGGTGTTTTATGTGCCAGACATGACTGACAGATACACCACTCTCATTAAGTACGGAGGAGACAAGATCCCTTATTCACCCTACTGATCAGGGCTCTGCCACCGGAGATGCCAGCAAGTGCACTGTCACTGATGTTGTCCAGTGGCCAGGTAGGACTCACTTCCTTGGTTGCTTATACACTTTTAGTTTTCTTTGAAAACGGCCCTTTAAGTCACTTGATCCATGACTTGAGCGAGCACTCTCCATTGTTCATTGATAGTTATTGTAGAAAAGATAAGAAATGATGCTTTAGTCTTTTTGTAAATTATAGTCAAACATACAATAAACTGAGGTATTCCCTTTGGTTAACAGAGCAATCCGATAATAAAAGTGGACAAAGCACATCGAGTTGCCACAAATATCTTTGTATATTACGCAGTGGGGCAAAAATGAGGTGACCAAATACTTCTTTTCCACCATAATTTGCAAATCAGTTCTTTAAACTCGGACAAGTTAGAGGTATACCTATGATGAAAATGACAGGCCTCTCTCATATTTTTAAGTGGGAGAACGTGCACAAATGGTGGCTGACTAAATACTTTTTTGCCCCACTGTATTTGATCCTGTCTCCCTCAATACTATTTAATATCTAAATGCTTGATTCATCATATTATAACAAATGTGCTGTTGTAGCTACTGACAGTGAGTTTGATTCCATTTTTTCCATCTACCAAAGAGAAATAATATCTCTTAGTGGCAGGTGGATCACACGTTGATTCTAACACTTTGCATATGACTGGGTAGGATGAGCATTTTATAAGCGCTGTGTGGTTTTTGTTTATTTAAGGAAATACATCAGTTTCCCTTGTATTTTAAATTTGAGTGAAGATCCTAAATTGGCCCCCACTCTTCACTTTGAGAAAAGGCTAATCTGTCTTATCCCCACATGAGCACAGTCAGATATAATACAGGCTTTCACTCAGGAGCAGGAAGGCTAAAGGCTGTTTAATGTTTGATCTAACTGTGTCAGACATTTGCGTTCTCACGTGCATGGACAATATCTTGAAAACTTCAGAGCTGCAGTGCATGTGTAAAAGTGGTTAGAAAGCAGTGCTTTAACACAGGTTTTGTCTCTTTGCGTAGCTGCTCGGTCCATCCAGACTCCCCTCGATATACAACAGTGATGCCAGCAACTCAAATACAAGCTCTCTCCAAGTGATTCCTTCATCATCAACATCTGCATCCATGATCCATTAGCTCAACAGCAACATCTGTCAGCTGTGCATCCAACTCGGGGGAATCGCCTGCTGTGCTCAGCCAGTGGGCCGCAATTTCTGTGCCTTGTTGATGGCCTCGCTGTATCCTGTGCTGGAGAAAGCTGGTGAGGAGACACTGCTGGTGAGCCAGGCGGCGCTGAGCTCCATGTAGGACATCAGTAAGGCCTGTGGATACACTTCCCTCAAGGAACTGATCAATGAGAACTCTGACTACCTGCTTAATGACATATCACTCAACCTTCAGAGGCTCAGCCAGCATCCACAGGTAGTTATGAGGTGTTTTTGTTTTTAGCCCAAATGGACACAGAAATGAGTGCTGGAGGGTTTACCCGATTTCCTTCTTTGTCTGCTTAAGCCTGTGCGTCCCTTTCAGTAAGTGATTTGAATCCACCTGACATTCAGAAGGTCGTGGTAGAGCATATCGTACGAAGGCAAGATGTCAAACACATCCAGTCCCAGGTTAGACTCCGTACCTTCTCCGGTAAGGTTCCCAGACCTAACAACAAAACTGATTATGACACGTGGCGCACACAAATTAACCTGCTCCAAAATGACCCCAGCATGTCCCCGCTGCAAATATCCAGAAAGATCCATGAGAGCCTGCTCCCACCAGCAGCTGATATAGTTAAAATGTGTGACTCACAGGTGCTATAGCGTACGGCCACAGCTTCACTCTGAGCTCCATCTCCATAGAGTGCAGACAGTGATATCTGATACTCCTTAAGACACAGGACAACAGTTTATTGAGATATTGTATTTTTTATTTCATAATATGTACTCCAACAACTCAATAGTTCTTCCCCACCTGCCTCAGGTCGCCTCCACTTAGGGAGATCCACTTAATGAGGTAAGAAACATCATCATCATCTGCAGCTTCCCAGCGCACCGTGATGTCACTGTCTGAGAAATTAGTTATCCTAAGGTCTGAAGGAGGAGGCACCTTCACTAGAAGAAAAGAATAATGTGTATGGGAATTTTTTAAAAATGGGAAAGCTACATCTTTATATCTTTCATTATTAATAACATTTACAGTACTGTGCAAAAGTCATGAGCCACACGCTAAAGTATTTCATTGGACATTATCTGTTTTTCCAATCCTTTTTAATCCAGTTCTTGTACCTGACCATTTTCCCAGTAATGTTTTTTCTTTGTTTGTTTGTTTGTGTAAACACTTGTTTTGTTTGTTTGTGTAAACACTTTGCACTGACCATTATTGGAGAATTAAAAAGCACCTAATTCAAGGAATATGTGTACACATAACAGAAAACTTGGGAAAGAACCAATTTGAAATCTTTAGCACTTTGTTACTAGCGGCCTGTCACAAAAACACATTTTGTATATGTTTTTTTTTTTATCTTGTTAATAAAATGTATACAAATGTGTGTGATTAATCACAATGTGTTAGTGTGTAATCACCCTAGACATGCATGCCTGTCTGTAAGAGTCAGATCTAAAGCCACTTGTGATTTGGAGATGCAGCCTGCAGATTTGTCCAGATTATCCCAGCTCTCTTCACTATATATCCAGGCTTCACTTATCAAATGTGTAAAATTCAAGGCTGGTCCTTAAAAGTTGCCAACAATGCAAAAACTGCATAGCCACACAAGTCCAGCGTTTCCCACCGCAGCAGCTGTGAAACGAAAGAGGAGAAAGGATGAATGAGTGTTTGCTTATGGGCTCTCCGCTCTCCCCCAAGCTGGCGTTGTTCTTGGTAGCCATGACAACGGAGATAGTCCCAGCTTTGTAAATACAGGCCCAACAGGCCAAAAAGAAAAGAAAAAAAAGGATTGGGATTCCCTGCGCAGACCAGGAATCCCCCTAGCAGACTGAAGACACAGATAGGACCTGAACTCAGTGAGTGTGTTCGAGCCGAGGCTCGAACCAGGGCCTGTCTGTGCTTCAAGTTGCCAGGGGCCGGCAAGTGTTCTGCGCCACCTGCCCGCCGTGTAAGCTGTACAAATTTGCTATATTTGACTTCTCTGAATATAAATGATTTTTGAAAGGAAAATAATAATTTTAATGTGAGGCAAAACATGTATGGTGCTCGATAAAGATGACACGCCGACTCACTTCTTCTTCTTTCTTTTTTTGCAAAGTTTGTTTTCATATTAAACCAGTGTCAGTGACGTCATTCTATGCGACTACCACAGTAAAGGAAAAGCCTGGATCTGTACATCTTTTTCTTTTCTTTTTGTTGTCTAAAACACAAAAATCGCGAAACAGTCAGCTCACAAAGTTGCAGGTTGGTGGCAATTTGGCAGAACAGCCAATGACTTAAAACATTTAAGTGCATATATCTTGCCACAAGACATGTGCGCTAAGCTAGCCAAATGAGTTTCTGTTAGCGAATCAAGTTCAAGCTCCTCACATATCATCATCCAGGGTACAGTCATATGCTCATGAGGAGATCCCACGCAGGTAACACTACGGCAGTGCAACAAGTTAAATATGCACACATTTTAAGCTATTTCCTAATATCTAACCATTATGATAAATGTTTGCCTGCAACCGACACAACCAACACAAATGTCATTGAAAAAACAAAACCCTGTGATCACATGTTTCTGTTTTTCTAGAACAGAAGAAGCACAATTTAAAAAGCCAGTAGTAATAAATCTTTGTTGTTACTGCATGATTCGAATGAAGTACCTGAAGTCTGGCTGGAATAAGAAGTGGTATCTGTGTACTGTGCTAGTGATCTGCATAATTCACCTCATCTGTTTGGATGGCAGAAGTCGGCTAACTACACAGCTAATTTCATCAGGCTGCTAATGAAACATCTAAAATGATAGATGGTTAACTACACAACGGAAGTAACAGCATTACAATCACTTGATTTAATTACATTTTCCCCCCAAACATTTGATCCAAATTAGCAAAGTACTGCAGCCATCTGAACCTTCTAGGTGTTACATGTTACAGTGTTCCACTCTGGCCAGCTTTGAAAATGGAAAACTCTTTGCGTGGTTTACTCGGTTCTGTAAATAAGGCTCCTTTCATTTGTGAGACTGTATTCCACAGCCAGTTGTCTTCTCTCCCCTTTGGTCCGCCCTTACAAGGTGAAGGTGCTGCCCACCCATGATACCAGCAAGGTGCGTGCAAGTGGATCCGGCCTTAACACCACTGGAGCGCCACCTCTCTGCCAGTGAAGGTCACCATTGATGCCAAAGATGCAGGTGAGGGACTGCTGGCAGTGCAGATCACTGTGAGTGCATGAACGTGGAGCACACAATAATGTATTCAAAGCATTGATATTTAGGTAACAGTTTTTGTTTTCTCCTGAAGGACCCAGAGGGGAAGCCCAAGAAGCAGATATCTGTGACAGCCATGATGGGACCTACCTGGTGTTTTATGTGCCAGACATGACTGACAGATACACCACTCTCATTAAGTACGGAGGAGACAAGATCCCTTATTCACCCTACTGAATCAGGCTCTGCCACCGGAGATGCCAGCAAGTGCACTGTCACTGAATGTTGTCCAGTGGCCAGGTAGGACTCACTTCCTTGGTTGCTTATACACTTTTAGTTTTCTTTGAAAACGGCCCTTTAAGTCACTTGATCCATGACTTGAGCGAGCACTCTCCATTTGTTCATTTGATAGTTATTGTAGAAAAGATAAGAAATGATGCTTTAGTCTTTTTGTAAATTATAGTCAAACATACAATAAACTGAGGTATTCCCTTTGGTTAACAGAGCAATCCGATAATAAAAGTGGACAAAGCACATCGAGTTGCCACAAATATCTTTGTATATTACGCAGTGGGGCAAAAAATGAGGTGACCAAATACTTCTTTTCCACCATAATTTGCAAA